GACTTAGATCAGCCCAGAGGTTGTTTCAGGGTTTGATGTGTGAGTTAGCCATGCCCTGACTTAGATCAGCCCAGAGGTTGTTTCAGGGTTTGATCTGTGATATAGCCATGCTCTGACTTACAGTATATAACTAAAAAAAAATATTTTCTTGGTTTCAGACAATTATGCTTGCTGTTATATGTAGAAGACATTTATAGATCTCTATCAGAAATCCTTCTTCAAGAAGAGGACTTCCAGTTTGCTGCATTGATGGTTCGGTATCTCAACATGATATTGCTGACGTCAGGAGAACTCTTTGATCTTAGGTTACAGCTGAAGGAGCTTAGCACTGCTGTAAGTAAAAGACATTTCTATAGATTCATTCCCACGATGCTTTTATTCCCCTCGTTTTAGAAGATTGACTTTTTTTTCTCCCCGCAAACGGCAAACGTGACCACGTTTTCATAGTTTTCATGTATTTTACCTTCTCACCAAGTGCAAATACTCTTTTGTTTTTCTACTACTTGGACTTTTTTGCGATTCTTTTTCAGTAATTTAAAAGAATTTTTTACTGGTCAACTGACGTTTCACGTTTGCCATGAACGTAAATCTAAAACTCTCTATTGCCAGCAGTTCACCCCTTCATACTTTTTTGAAATACTGGTAGTTTTAAGCAGATTAGTATCTTTATTGTCCAACTATTGTGTGTGGGTCTTAACACTGTTTATTTTTGTTATAGGAAAGCTGTTCATTGTTTTGCTGTTTGTACAAGTCCTGGTGTCATAATCCTGTGGCAACAGTTTCTTTATGCTTGTTAACACAGAACTATCATCATGCTTGTGATCTTATCCTGATATTGTATCCTTTTTAGCTTCATGTCTTACATTTTTTCCAACTAGTAACATTAAAGTAATGTTATTGTGGCGGCCAACTCAAAATTTGTAAACTACTTTGGCCACTACACATGAACCTAAATCTCTAGTCTACATATTAGTTCTACAAATTTATACCTTTAATTTATAATTCCCTTCGTAATATTTAATTAATAATTCAATATGTGTGAATAAACTATAGCTAAAGTCTAAAGCTATTTCATCATTATAGAGCTTTTWTAAGTGAGATGTCATTTATCTGGAAAAATGACTTCCAAAACGAAATTTTAAAGGGCTCCTATAAAAGATTTTCTTACTTTTCTTTCATGACAGGATTTGTTGTCYAAAGCCTAAATTGTTTCAGGTGAAGGTTAAATCATTGAAAACGATTTTCACTTTATTTTAGTGGTTTTTGTAAGCAGTTGGACCCAAAAATGTGTCAACAACTTAGCAGCTCAATAATCAATGTCTCATTTGTCTTTGAAACTGTGCATTACTTGTATTTCATGATTTCTGTATTATTTTCTTGACAACATTTTAGTGGTGATTTAGAAGTGAATGTAGACTTTTTAGTACAAATAGACAAGCTTGTTCARCTTATAGAATCTCCAATATTTACTTGTAAGTAGAAACAATGTGAATGACATCTTCTCTCAAATGTGAATGACATCTCTCAAACTGTACAGTCACCTATTTTAAAAAACGTCAGTAGGAGATCTGAAATCTGACGACTTAGTATGATTCTACAAATTAACCTTTTCTGCGCTAGCCGTCACCGGGTATAAATTGTTTTGGACTGTGTTACAGTCACCAAAAARTTCAGACATTGCTCTCGAGTTTCCRTGCAAATGTGTGGACTTAAGYCAGTGAAATTGTATGGGAATTCAAGAACAATGTCCGAACTTTTTGGTGACCATAACACAATCCAAGCTTGCGCCGAAAAGGTGAATKGTAACATTTTCACAGCTGAACAACACAGTTTCCTTTCAAATTGGAATATAAGGCATCACCTTTGATTTGAAAATGACATTTTTCATATTTTTAACCAGAGAGCATAAAAAAAATCTGTTTCGTCTTGATCAGACCACCCATTTCAGATCGCTGACCAACAATGTTTTTTGAAATAGGTGTATGGACATTCATGGGACTAGTAGTTCATACTTCTAGATTCTTGGGTGTGTTACCTCATACCCGCTATGTTGGTTTATAACGAAGCAACCTTCATGATTAGCTTCWCTTGTTAGATCAACCGACTGCTTCATTGTTATTTATATCTCTARGGATTTTGAGTCCTGTGGTTGCACCCAAAGAATAGAGGCTTTGCACCATCACGTGATGGCARGCATGACAGGAGGCACAGCAATGGAGCCTTTTTTCCCCGGGAAACTGAATTCTTTCTCATGTAAATCAGACCAGACCAGATTTAGTTGTTCCTCCCTCCTGCCATCACTTGATGGTGCAAAGCCTCTATACAATATAAATTATTGCAATTTTGACTAGTGGTCTTCCAACACCGTCGATATAGATCGGTATTGGCAGCTCAAAATCGTAACGAGATAGGATAATGAAAAGTGATTTAAGAGAAGGATGGTAGCTGGGAAAGAAATATTAGTAACTTTTAGAATTGTCAATYGCTAATCAGGGAACTCAAAAAAATCCTGAGTCTATCTGACAGGAATCAAACCTGTGACCTTCCAGATACCGGTCGAACGCTCTGCTGCTAAGCTACAGGGARACTCATGGCTATGGTCAATCTACTGGGTTCTTAGGGCAACTGTCCTGCRTACTTTTATGGGAAGTGTAGGTGATGTAGCAGTGAGAGCGCTCGTCTCTCRCCAATACAACCTGGGTTCGAGACCCGATGAGCTCGGTGTTGTATGTGAGTTGAGTTGTTTGTTGGTTCTCTCCTGTGCTTCGAGGGTTTTCTGGGTCCTTTGGCTTTCCTCCCTCCGCAAAAATCAACTTCTAAATTCCAATTGAAGTCCAGTGGAAGAAGAGCCACTCTGTGGAATCAATCTTTAATCCCATTTATTTTTATTTTATTTTATTTATTTCATTTTACTGCTGGCTCAAATTGTCTAAAAAGTAAGTTGTAGTCATGACTCTTAATCATCATTTTTTGTTTTATTCACCAGATCTCAGACTCCAGTTATTGGACACCCAACATAACTATTTCTTATTAAAATCACTTTATGGTCTTTTAATGCTGTTACCTCAAAGTGATGCATTCACAACATTAAGACACAGACTGGACTGTGTACCTAATGGACGTGTCCTCTCAGAACAAACATACAGGTATGATACTCTTTTCTTTAACCAATGCCATTTAATCATTTCTGGCCACGTGTTTCCTGGCATCAATCACRAGACTTTTTGCGAAAGTGTCCAGCAGTGTTAGCCAGGAAAGGGACCAAAATTAGTATCAATGAGGATAATCCTTAGTCATTTATTTAACAGGATTCGTGCTACTCCTTGAAAACTCCTTGAATTTAATTCAMGTTTTCAAGGGCACTTGAAAAGCTCTTGAATTTTATGATTTTAGTGAAACTCCTTGAAAACTCCTTAACTTCTTCRCTTTGATCATTACTTGCATGGCTCTGAAGTAGATCTAGTCAGAAAGATTGGAAAATCTGAAAGTCGGCCATGTACAACCACCGTGTAAAACCTTGGCRTAGTTAGCTGAACATACTCCTTGAAAATTCATTTTTGGGTCCTTGTATACTCCTTGAATAGTCCTTGAATTTTAAGTGGTTACCGCAGCACAAACACTGATTTAAGTTTTTTTTGAAAAGAGTATGAAATAATTTTAAACATTTGCAGCATRACAATTTGCAAAGTATATAATTAAAAGATTGCCTTGATTTTGTAAAACACTCACTCRTGCAGCTTTTATGAATCTTAAAGTTGAATTTCATGTTTTCAATTTCATTTAATCATTTGTTACTTTGACTAATGAATGTATTTGTAATCATTTGATACGTTATTGAATACATATTTCTCATGTTTTGCAGAGATGAAGCACGACAAGACTTTGAAACTCGAGAACACGTTCAGAGAATCAACTTTGAGGATTTGAAACAACATTTTATAGCAGTACAGAAAAARCATATGGTAACAAAGCATAGAAAACCAAAGCATCAACAGCAGAATCTTCTCAGTGACTAGCTATATAGTAAACAATTATTGGATGAGCTTGGAACATGATGTGTTAAATTATGAAGGCRGGGCCTTGTTATCTGCCGAAGCCATAGGGTGAGGCAGATAAAACAGCTGAGGTCTTTTTATCTGACTGAGAACCTGCCGAGGTCTTTTTAACTAACTGAGAACCTGTGAAAATCCTGTGAAAATTATCTCAAAATATTTTTGAAATYTCACAGGTTTTTCACTACAGGATTTCCACAGGTTTTTCAAAAATCCAGACCTATGAAAAGGAACTCTTTGGAGGTCTTGATAATTTATRATATCATGCGAAACAGAATTTAATTATTGTTTTATTATTTCGTATTTTGTAAATTGAGAAGAAAGATATAATATTCTGCTTTGGTTGAACTTGACATGATAAATGTATTATCTGCAGGAAAATCTACAGATATTGCATTTGTTATGTCAAGTTCACACAATATCATATTAAATGAGTTGCAAGCATTCCCAAGAGTCAAAAGWCAAAAACATGGCAGCCATTGTGGTACTGTTAACAATGGATGCTAATGAGAAATCTTTTGTTAAATGGCACCAACATGGCCTCAATGACGTAATGTGCAATCGAAGAATACTGTKTGTACAGTAGTTGTTTAGTGAAGACAAAGAATCATAGGTAAGCTACTAGCAGAGTTATTAAGATAATAGAGCACCAATGTGTGGTGTTACCAAATTCCAAATTTTGCAATTCAGTTTTGAAATGTTCATATTTTGAGAAAACACAACATTGCCTACATTTCTGCCGACTTTAAGGTTGTTGCATTTAAGCTCCAAAAGTCCCCATACAACAATTTCTCTTATTTTACACTGGATCCATTTACCTTAGATCCAGCATCAAATAAGAGAAAATGTGTGGCGAATTTTTTGTTGTAATAAATCATCTAATATATATCTCAGCTATCTCAGCATAATCCTGATAATATACAGAGTTGTTTGCGTCAACTTAGCTTATTATAAAAAGGGGCCGATTTGGGCCAGTCTTTTACATCATATGTTGTTTGAGTTGTCGTGACAACACAGCTAAATAAGTTGACTTTGGGTGATGGCCCTAAGAAAACCGGGTAGGAGACTATAATGATTGGTCTGTTCTACTCACGTAGTTAAGTACAACAATTAAACTTGACACAGTGTTTAGGTTTTCTACTTTTAAATAATAAGGATAATCATAGATAAATGTTTAAGCCATTGCTAGATTTTTTAGGAAAAAAGAACGATAAAAAACTAGTCGTAAAGCTTTCAACTTTTAAATTTTCCATGTCTGATTCTTGAAATTGGTTAGTRATAAGTACAGTTACAGTGCTCAGTTTACTAAACTTTATATTTATTTATCTCACACCAGTGGAAACACAGTCAATCAGAATGCCTACAAATTTCTTGCACACTGATTGGTTATTTTTTATCATCAATAAGAGAACAGACAGATAAAGCTGACGTTTAATTAATAGTGTGCACTCTTTTCATTTTTTTTGTTCTTGTTCTCGTAAAAAAATATTAGCAGTTTTTTACTTACCTCTTATTGAAAATAAATTTCATCACATTGTCAAAGTAGTATACGGATCCACACTACTTTGACAATGTGATGATGCAATTTATTGTAAAAATAGTATAAAAACTTATGTTTATTTGTTAAGTATTCCACAGTTTCTTCCCACAAGTACTTCTTTAACCAAGTGGGTAGACTCRTATTTTCAATGGTGTAGGATAAAATAGTTCTACATCATTATAACCATGCTCTTGTTACTCATAATGTATTAGTACATTCACCCAATGGCTCATGTCTATACTAGTATACAAGTGCTTCAAGTGGTATATTACATGGTGTGCTGCTTAAAACCATTGTATAACTAGTATATAGTAAATATAGTAGACTGCAGAGAAAAAGGGGCCGGGCTTGGAGGTATAGTCCATATGATGACCAATAAATTTTCATTATTCTTTCTTCACTATTGATCACACCAAAACAACAATGTAATGTGGCCTGAGCCTCACTTCTGAGGTCAGTAAACAAAAGCAGAAATTTAATAGAATAACAAAATAAGCTACTCCTGGATTTGATGCTGTTAGTCCACATACACTGGAGTTTTAAGAGACGGCAATATTTTMAAATCTACGCCCGGCCCTCCCCCACCACATAAACACACATGGTTGATCAGTAGCTTTGGTCCTTGTTATCTATTCCTCACATTTTCTAAAGTTTAAAATGTTTTGACTAAAGTCTTTTCTATATTTTCTCAAAATATGCCTATGAAAGTCAAGATTATGATGAACTGTCAATAGGTTGATGAATATTAGTTTAGTCGATCAAGATGRCGTGGTAATTGAAAATATATAAATATATATATCTTATAGTTTTAAAAAATTATAAGATTTTGTCTTTTAGATTATTGATCAATTAGACTACTTAGTAAAGTACTTGATAAGAAAAATAAATAAATAAATAATACTTTAAAATTTATATTTCTCATTCAATATTAGACAATTATTGGATTAGGTTGAGCATGTTATAGACCCCTTGCGGCATGTCAGAATGCAGCTCAATCTGGGGACAAAACAATATGTCGCAATTCTCAGGAGATTGGAATTCTTCTGTTTTTTAAAAGGATCTATAATAAATTATTATGACTTGAGGTCACAGCTGCTGAAGCCAAACTGTCTGCAGCCTGTTGAATTGCCTTCCCTTCTTTCTCATTCAATTCCCTTACATCCCATTCCCTTCTTTCCCATTTCCTCCTATCCCATTTCCTCTCATCCCATTCTTCCTCAACCCACCCATTCACTCTGTTTATCAGTTGACTGCTGCAGTCTGCAAATTTGACATTGTTCCAAAACGATTAAAAATGAGAAGTGGGACTTGCGACGATGGAGACATGAATAATATTGTCCATTGTGTTAAAAAAGGGCTGTATTAAAGCAAGGGCACTGCCATTCTCGCTTYGATGCACAGGTACAGTTACCTTTCAAGATGGCGCAGGGGCAGTGAAGGGGACTCGCAAACCAGAAATCTATATGATAATGCAACAAAGTGACAAAACCTGACCAGGGGGAGACTCAGAATATTAATTTGAAATAGAGGTAAGGTACCTTAAACCAATACCACACAGGAAACCCATAAAAGGTAGGGACTTAATAGAMATTAAATTTGAGAGCTTCAAGTAAACCATGTGAAAKTTTATCCCGATACATATTTATTTACATTTCAGCATAAACAACTTTTTCTTTAATTTGTGCAAAAGGATCCGTGTTGGATCTGCTCCAATGTTTGGCACATGATTGCAATAATCTTTACAAATATTGCATCTATRGCTTTCTGATGCAGTCCTAGTATGAAAGATAACCATTTTTTTCCTCTAAATTTTCATGTGATTTAGCGAAATAAAAATAGAAATAATCAATGTTATTGTTATGGGATCCCTGTGTCGCACGTGACTTCGTTCAAGCGCGCGTGGCGGGTAAACAGATTTGTATTTTTTCAAGTGTTTTTGAACTAATTTTGTTCATAATGAAGCTTGAATTATCCTTCCTTCCACCTTAACTACARCTGAACTACTTCTACAAGGCTGTCGCATTGAAAAAAGCTGGAAAACTTTCTAGGAACGAGACAAAATGAGCATTTTGGGCCGACGTTCGTTGGAAGTGTATGACCGATGACAGACGTCAGGAACGAAAACTTGCTCAGAAATTGTAGGTAAAAAGGCTTCTTTTTAAACTATTCTTACACTTTTTCTATTATAACTTAAGATAATTTGTATGACAAGTCAGCTAGGATAAGGTTATTGTGTTATTTTGTTATTTTATTTTGTGTCTAATTTTTCGAATCGTACATTTGGAAACATATAATAATTTGGAATATTTCTTTCAAAAATCTTAAAACATGAATGAAAACATCTTTGCATTGCAGTTATAATGTAGTAATGGAAGACCTGAAGTCTAGAGTYCTAACGTTTATTGAAGAAAACCAAAGTTTTGAGGGAATTTTATCAGAGGTGAGAACTTGGGATGCGATTGGCTAACGAGACAAAGCAAGGTGCAACATTGCAAGCAACAAATTTGAATCGGGGTGACACACATTGCCATAAAATCACGCAACATCGCTTGTGTCAGCCTGCTTTGTTAAGATATTTGGTCAGCAGTTATAAATTTGTGCAAACTGATTGGCTCGAAATTTTAAAATGTTGCAGCCTTGTCTAAGCCATGTTCACATGATGAAATTTGTTGTGCGCAATGTTGCAAGAGCAGAGCGCGATTCAACTTCAGATTTGTTGCATGCAACATTGCATGCAACAAGTTTCAGGTGTACACACGCTGCAACAGTCCTGTTGCGTTCAATGTTGCATCGCGTGTCAGACTTTAATGGGACAGATTTTTTTCTGTTGTCAATCAAAAATAATACGTCGATACCTTTTATGTTTTTGACTGGCAGTAGTGAAAAAACAATTTCACAACAAGCCGTTGAAATGGCCAGAACTGAAACTTGTCGGGTAAAATCTTTGCTTTGCTGGTCATTTTGACCAGTAACATTGAGCCAGTAATGAGGTATGACTGAGCTAAAACATGACTCAACTGACCAGCCATCATTTTAAGCCCTGAGAACTGGGGATTCTTCATGTTAAAAAAAAGTATTTGAATACAATTCCTCCATAACCCTCCCCTCCCATGTGAAATTCTAATCCCATGCCATGGTAAAGGTATGGAAATAGTCCCTTTTCTCATTCTGTAAATACCGCTGTGTTTTAAGACTGAAGACTCATCTCTGCAAGAGTAAATCATTTGCAATTTGTTAACTTTAATGTAAAGAATGTGCAGCTTGAGCAATACCAATGTTTTGAAATCCCACAGACTTTTAATGGTATCTGTGAATAGCTGACTTATAAATGAGGCTAAGCCTGTGCAATTGAGTCTGTAATAATAATAATAATAATAATGATAATAATCTTCAAAGACAGTGGTATGCATTGAATGTGAAACTGGTGTATTTATTGGATTTCCATATTTTTTCCTTATTTAGACATATAATGAAGGTAAAGCATCTCCAGATAGTTTACAGCTTGGATTCAAAGAGGATTCTGGTTCAGCTGACGGTAATGTTTTGTTTATTTAAAAAAACATCAAAATTAATGTGCAGCCACTCCAAATGGGACCTTTGTTATAAAGTTAATCACATTGTGAAAATTGGAACCAATCAGAAGAGAGCAGAATCAGTATCACATTRACTTCAGCCAATCACAAATCTTGGCTTATTTGTTTCTTGCTTTTATAATCATGTACTAGGTTGAAAAGCTCAATAAACAGTTGAATATTTGGTGTAATTTTAAAACTCATTTAATGTTTAGATAAATTATCTTTAAAAAAAGATATAGAGGATATTACATAGGCRCGCGGAGATACAAATTTTATCTTTGATAAAGATCTCTCATGAGTGAGCGCAGCGAATCCTTGAAAAGTCCTYGAATTGAAAACACGTTTTTAAGGGCGCTTGAAAAGCCCTTGAAAATAGGGGAAAACGCCAAAACTCCTGGAATACTCCTTGAAATTAATGCAAACTTGATGTTATTTCTAACTTTCCTTTTAAAATAAATAACAATTATAATTGAATGAAGAGTTTCTGGTTGCTTGTTTACTGGTTCGTTGCGTGYCATGATTGTTTTTTATTGGTGGACGTGGCCCCGGCTGAATTAGCTGCACTGTAACATTGAATCAATGTTTAAACCACATTCTAATACAAAAAACTTTATCCTTGAAAATCRAATTTTTGTGTTTGAAAAGTGCTTAAAAAGTCCTTGAATTTTGAAACAAAAATGTWGCATGAACCCTGATTCTAGTCAATAACCATTGGTGAGCACAAGTTATCTGTGGGTATTTGGTGTATGTTTACTTTGTTGCATTATTGATTTCAGATTGTGTACATGTGTTGAAAAACCAGGCCAAAAGGGCTTCCTGTGCATTGGACCTCTTGGCTGCCGAGTCCTTGGCTAAAGGATTGGTTAAAGAAGTCTTGACTGGTTGCCATGGAAATGGTCAGCAGTTCCTTGACCAGAAGCAAAATGTATGTAGTTGAGGCCTTGAAACCTTKGGGTGCCAGTAATGTGCCTCCTCTTATTACATCTGTGCTTAAGAGCTCATTCCTCTCATTAATCAACTAGACACTTAAATAAAGAGATTTATTAGTATTTATAAATTTATGTAATCATGGTGTGTGTCTGGTTCTATTTGGCTTAGGCTGCACGCCATATATCAGTAAAACAATTACTAGCCATGTAGCACTGTAAAGTATTTAGTTATCAACAATAGCTAAGAATTCACTCAAACMTGAACCAAACAAWGACATGTAGAGGTATTTTCTTKCCACCCCTTTTTTTTATCCTTTRCGACAATRCTTCCCTTCACAGTTCCCTGCGCCACCTTGAAACATCACCGTTCCTGTGCATAGAAGCAAGACTGGTAATGACCTTGCAATGATAGAGACCTTTTTTGACACCTTGGACAATTATTCATGTGTGTCTATCAACCTTGCTTCAATGCACAGACACGGTTACCTTTCAAGATGGCGCAGGAAACCATGGAGGGGACTATTTTTCACTTTTCATTTGGCTTGGAATTATTGACTTCAACTYGTATGCTTTCCCAATATCTGGTATTGCACAACAACCTCTATGCATAAAATAAACAATAAATGTTCTTTGCAATGATTTCCTTCTATAGGCTGTTGTTTCYACCATCATAAAGATAATCAAGATCCTTCTATCAGAGAAGTCTTTTAACAGAGTCCACTTTGCCAAGTGTCTTTCCTCAGAAAACAAACAAGAGGTAYGAGTAATACTTTGTATTTTCATTAAGTAGTACTCCAGCGACAACTGGGTATCCAATTCGCTTGTTTTGCCAYGATGTTACAATGGGGGGAGGGGTATGCTGCTGTGAGCCTGTTATCCAGCAACAACTGGGTGCCAGATTTTATTTTACTGGGTGCCATAATCCTTGTCAGATATCAGTTCAGGGCTCGAAATAGAAAACTTTTTTAGCCAGCCATAGTAAAGGAGCATGGTAAAAGGAGGTCATTCCAGTACATTTTGCATGCCATTTTATTATTCATTTGGCAGAGCATCCTTATTTTTGCCTGCCAAACCTGAAATTTGTCATGTCATTTGGCCATTGGCAGGCCGCTATATTCGAGCCCTGCAGTTGCTTAGATGGCAAGCTTGATTTTTTCAATTTTGGGTTCTTTGGAGTCTTGCCCTGGGGAAGGGGAGGGGGGGACTCCCATGTAAAAAGGGCAGGGATAATTGTTTAATCCTAAAAGAAATAATTTTGGGTGTGGTCCTGTTTTAATTTCAGTGCTAAAAGATATCACTTTGAAACACAACTGAAGAAAATTATTTTTAAAAAAAATCATTGAGTTTATTGTGACATAAACTGAAACTTCAGCCTCAAGGGCTATTGACTTGTAGACCAGTTTGGCTCCAGGGCTAATTGTTACAGCCATTCTCAATCACACTCGCTGCTCTAGCAATTGTTTCTGTCGCAACGAAGAAGCTTTTGATGGACATCAATCAAGGTTTTTCCATGACATTTTATAGGCATGTGCCCTTAAAGCTTTTTGTTTTCCAACAATGTTATGGAAACGGCTTGTGATTGACGTCCACCAAACCCTTCTTCGTTGCGACAGAAGCAATCGCTAGAGTGGCGCATGTGATTGAGAATGGCTGTAATTATTCACACAAAACACTTCAATGGTAATATTTCAATATTATTCTTGTCAAATCTTCAGGGCCAGATTCTTCCTATAGAAGTGTTCTGGAGACTCCACACCTGTCACATCTTGTCCTTCAACACATATCTCGCCTGGTAAGCCTTCTGCATGCAGCATTCTCTGCATAAAACTAAACTCACATACATGTTTATTAATATTGTGGGGAATACAGAACCTTCACTGGAGTAGCATGTCAAACAAAAATGTTTTACATGATCATGAACAGACATTAAACCAATGAGCCATTGGAAAAGGATAATGTTCCAGTCAATATGGGTGCCTTGTAAGACAGGCCTATGCCTTCATAATAAAATGACATCTTCAAATGTTTTTTGTTTGTGAGTCCTTTTGAGCAATAGCATTCAATAGAGATGCCGAAATATAAATTTTAATTACAAATGTGGTTATAATTTAAGCAAAGTTAACTTGGGGCAGAATGTGTTCAGCAGTATGATTAGCTCTTAACTGTGCATGCTCTCTAGCTGTTTCTCGTCCCCGTGGTTTGCTTTGCCAGTTGCTTGTGTTTCTCTCTTTGGCCCCAGTCTCCCTGCCCTTGGGATCAGATATGGTAAGCAATTTCAATTCCAGTGTGACAGGTACCAAAGTTGACCAGTGCAAGTTTGTCATGGTTACCTGGTTACTAGCCTTTTTTATTTCCAGTTTTCTGCCGGGCACCAGATTCTCCATCCGCTTTGAAGTGACAAGTTAAGAACCATAAAAAGACTCAATATTTTAACCTTTTYCCCCAGCTGTTCCTCTAATCCATTATCATGCCAGGCAATAACCAAAGGTTTGATAGATATCTGCAATGCTACATCACTCTCACAACAAGAAAAAGAGAAACAAGAAAGCATGCTGTCAGGTAGAGTGAACCCTGAAAAAACCTATGGGATGATCTGAGTCAGGGCATGGCTAACTCACAGATTGAACCCTAAAACAATCTCTGGGCTGATCTAAGTCAGGGCATGGCTAACTCACAGATTGAACCCTAAAACAACCTCTGGGATGATCTAAGTCAGGGCATGGCTAACTCACAGATTGAACCCTAAAACAATCTCTGGGCTGATCTAAGTCAGGGCATGGCTAACTCAGATCAAACCCTGAAACAACCTCTGGGCTGATCTAAGTCAGGGTATGCCTAACTCACAGACAGAGCCCTGTAACAACCTCTGGGCTGATCTAAGTCAGGGCATGGCTAACTCACAGATAGAACCCTAAATCAATCTCTGGGCTGACCTAAGTCAGGGCATGGCTAACTCACAGATTGAACCCTGAAACAACCTCTGGGCTGATCTAAGTCAGGGCATGCCTAACTCACAGATAGAACCCTATAACAACCTCTGGGCTGATCTAAGTCAGGGCATGGCTAACTCACAGATCAAACACAGAAACAACCTCTGGGCTGATCTAAGTCAGGGCATTGCTAATTCACAGATCAAACCCTGTAACAACCTCTGGGCTGATCTAATTCAGGGCATGGCTAACTCACAGATCAAATTGAAAATAGCATACTGGTCTTAAATGAGATTATAAGTGATTTTTTCTCATGTGTTTGCAGTACTTCTTGCTGTTATTGTACCATTGGGATACAAAGAGAAGGATAAAGATAAGGAACCAAAGAGAACGAACCTAGAGAAGGTAAACATGCAAATATGTGGTGACATGTGTAGCGCTTTAGGACACTTGCTTTCCTGTATTGTCCAGTGTATCACAAACAACAATACAGGAAAATTGCTGTCCTAAACCTTGACAGGTATATGAACTTGGAATTACTGAAAAAAATTTTTCCAAGGCCATGGAAAACTCCTCGAATTTTCTATTAGTATTAGGTTAAAAGAAAAGATGTCAGCAAAAATCAAACAAGATCAAAATTTGCTGGCAACAGCCAAAAAATCCATTTTGCTCATATTCTAGTATAAGGTAGACCTATAGCCATAACATATCGTGGAATACTTCGTTTTTTGAAATATCGCTTTATTCCAAGAAAAATGAGAAAAACCAAATTGTAAATAAATGACCCTCTGAAAGAGCAAAAATATCCTCCAACTTCAAGGATTTCAAATATGTGTATGGGCTTCTTAGACAAATGAAATTAATATTAGATAAATGAAATTGAAAATAAAAGTGTTTTCTCTGCCAGGACTACGTTAGTTGCTTGGTGAAAACTGTTTCACTATTTCTAACGTGAAATTTTAAGTTTAAGGGTCCTGGAATATTGATGAATTTCAACCATTCCCAAGAGAATTAAATAACAAAAGACACGGCAGCCATGTTGGATGATATCACAAAAGAATTCATTGACAATTCTTTTGTTAAGTTCCTCCAACATGGCCGCCGTGAAAACCATCAATTCCTGGAATTTCATGATCTCCTAGTAGTATACGATCTGTGTTGTATTCCAGGTACCAAAAGATTACAAACTTCACCCTCTTGGTTACTCTTCTTAAGAAATCATCTTTGATTTCACTCATTTTCAACAGATTGCAGAGGATATACTTCAAARTGTGATAGATGGTAAGGTTTTTGACACACCTTGGTAGCCTTCTTGGGAGTTGTTATGTATGCCAATTTTGTATTGCAACAAAACTAGATTAGAGAATGCTATCCACTCTTGGTGAGTTGCTTACAGAAAAGCCATGTTTTATTAGCTGATAACATGCTTTTGCAGGCAATGTTGGAAGCATCTTACAAAATAAATTTTGTACACTGTTGAAAATTTGGGCACATATTGCAACTAAATCTCCTCTTGCAATGTTGCATTATTTTAATAATTGCACTGCATGTGTGCACCTACATTTCACTCACTTTACTTGAACTACAGTTCTTGTGGCTAGTTTCTTTGAGGTCCCTGTCTTAGATTTGCTAAGTTTACCTACAGTACATAACAGTACATCATTTATACTTTCAAAAAATTTGCTTATTATTGATCAGGCTGCAATGAATTGTGTATCTCAGCTGATCATAACACAGAAGAGATTAACAGGTGAGGCATTTGCAGTTGTGGAAAGTGTTATCATAGAGTGTTGTTGCTGACAATGTGAGACAAAGCTTGCAGTGATGGATCTGCAGTGCATGAACTTATGACTAAACAGTAGACTGTTGTAATATAGCATTGAAAAATGTAGAGTGTATGTTGTTGGTATTACTCTCTTATGGTGCAATAAATGTTCTGTGTTTGTAAGAAGTAAAGAGTGACCTGCTACTTGATACAAAATAAAATCTGGAGTGGTAGTAAAAGAAGCATTTTGCAATCAGCACTCTGCAACTTTCAATACTGTAATGGAACTGCAATACATTGTTTGAAGTTGGTGAGGTTGTTGACTTTACCCATGCTCTATAATGACATGTTTTTGAAAAGAAATTAAAAAATTATGATCTTGAAGCATAGAGGCCAGATTGTCAAAAATGTCATCTGGAAGACAAAGATGGGCAGAGTTACAGTATAATTATGCTAACATCATTGCATCCTCATTGTGAAAAAGTTCCTACATTGAACAACTGTACATATTGTTTGCCACCATCACTCCCCCTTACACAGACACACCCNTATTGCAACAAAACTAGATTAGAGAATGCTATCCACTCTTGGCAAGTTTCTTACAGAAAAGGCATGTTTTATTAGCTGATAACATTTTTATGCCAATGGCAGCAATGTTTTAGGTTTCTTACACAGTGAATTTTGCACAACTGTTGCAGATGTGGGTACGGCATATAATGCAACTACATACTTGCTTGCAATGTTGCATTCAGCAGTTGCACTGTATGTATTCTTTTTACTCATTTCACTGCAGCTACGAGTACAGAGCAGGGGTTTTATCAAGGGGGGCTATATTGGTAATTTGGGGGACGGGGGAAACTAAAGCATTTCCTAGCTTAACCTATTTTATTGCTATCCCAAAATATTTTGGGCTGTTAAGCTTTTGTAGGCTAGTTCCTCTGTGGTGCCTGCCTTAGATATTACAAATCGTAATGCCTACAGAATAAAACAGTACAACTGTATTTCACCTGCATAACATCATTTATACTTTCAAAACAAAACTTGTTTATTGCTGATCAGGCTGCAGCAAACCAAGCATCTCAGCTGATCATACCACAGAAGAGGCTAACAGGTGAGGCATTTGCAGTTGTGGAAAGTGTTATCATAAAATGTCACTAAAAATGTGAAGGTGAGGTCGTTGACCTAACCCATGTTCTAAAATTAATGGCATGTTTTTGAAAAGAAATTAAAAAATTATGATTGTGAAAAACGTCATCTGAAAGAAAAAGATGGGCAGAGTTACAGTATAATTATGTTAACTTCATTGTTCAGCATTGTATATGCATCATCCTCATGGTGAAAAAGTTACATTAAACAACTGTACATATTGTTTGCAGGGTTCGTGCTACTCCTAAAACTCCTTCAAAACTCCTTGAATTTAATTCAGGTTTTCAAGGGCACTTGAAAAGCTCTTGAATTTTATGATATTAGCAAAACTCCTTGAATTTTTGCTTTGATCATTACTTGCATGGTTCTGAAATAGATCTAGTCAGAAAGATTGGAAAATCTGAAAGTTGGCCATGTGCAAGCACCGTGTAAAACCTTGGCATAGTTAGCTGAACATACTCCTTGAAAATTCATTTTTGGGTCCTTGTATACTCCTTGAATAGTCCTTGAATTTTAAGTGGTTACTTCAGTACAAACCCTGTGTTTGCCACCATCACTCCCCCTTACACAGACACACCCCCACTTGTATGTCAATTCTTTTATGCCACCCGTTTCCTAATTAACAGGTTAGAAGTG